TATCACAGATAACGCTGTATGTGAAAAAAGAAAAAGTGTTTTCCGCTTTTCTGTTGAAATCGTTCTTCAATTTTCTTTGCTATAAACCTCACGGAGTCCGAGAACTTTCCAACGAATGCAAAATCGTCGAAATCGGTTCGTGCGTTCTGGAGTTATATCGTTAGGAAGGAAAACCCGACTTATTTTTATATAATCAATATATTATAAATTCATTTGTAAATTTTAACCTAATTTTCATTTAATATTTTCATTACTCATTTTTAATATGTCGTAAAACCAGAGACAAAATATAATATTTATAGCAAATATCATAAGTAAAAGAGAGTACTAAAAAACTCGAGTAAGATATATAGAACGTTAAGTTTCAAACAAAATCAACTGAAATCACGTTTAGTTAAATAAATTATATGTAGTGAATTAAACAAACGAATCAACTTCAAATTAACATTTTAATATATAAGTTTGATTTATAAATTATTCTATCAAAATATATATATCACATATATTACCAACACTATCTGGATTAAATGAAAAAAAAGTTTTTCTATATGAAAAACACTTAGGAGGAGTATGGCTTTTTTCCTCACATTTTTGACTCACAAACGATTCGGAATGATATGATATGTTGAGGAACCATAAAATTAGCAAATCGTATTAACAGGAACCTTCTTTTTCAATTTTCACAGACTGATATACGGATAAAAAACATGAAATATAGGGTTTAGATAGGTTAAATAAAAGTGATAATCAGCATAAAAATGATAATGGGTTAAAGTTGCTTAGTTTTGCCAAAAATTACAAATTACGCAGTGCAATTTTAAAAAATAAACAAAGCGTGATGTCTGCAAACGTTTGCGAATAAGTGGAAAGTGGAAAATCATGGAAAATATTTTCTGTTTATGCTTCCCTTAGCTTGTATAATCATTTTTAATTAGTCTTTGTTAACAAAAATTAGTCAGTGATATATTTTTATTCTGTCATGTAGGCAGTATAATAATATATCACCTTATTTACTGGAACACTCTATTTCCTCATCTATATTTCCATATATTATCATTATATATTGTAAATAGCAATCGCATTTCGAAATTTACACTATTTTAAAATAGATGAAGTAGAATTACAATGTAAAACACTAATGTTATTACTAAAATATCTACAATTGAAAAGAATAAGATGAAATCAAGTACACTTTTGCGAATGAATCATCACTGCCAATGCAAATAATTGCATAAAGCGTTGAAGATAAACAACTCAAGAATAAACTTATAAATTAACATATATTCATATGAAATCTATATATATATATATATATATATATATATATATATATATATAATTAAAATTATACATAAAACATTTGAAACACTTGCAACTGAAGACGAAATAGCAACATTATACCACCAATATCTAAATGAACTAGTTCAAACTACAGCTTTTTCATGTAAATATATTTTGGTTACTAAAAAGTTCAATCTAAAATTTATTATTAAAAGTATGAAATAAATCTGAATAAATTATCTCGAACTACAGCTTTGATAATAATGAATAGTACTACCCCAGGTCAGGTCCTTGAGCTGAATTAAACTCTAACTCGATTCAGAAAAGCCATTTCACACTGCAGTACTTGAAACAAGCTCTTTTCAATAGGAAACAAATTTTTGATCTATATTGTCAAGTGAAAATTGATATCACTACTGCATGATATCAAACTATCCAGAGCGTGGGTTCGAACACACGAACTCATCCACACGAGGCAGTACGCTTAACTGTCACGCCGTGGAACACAGTTTTTATATAAATATACTTTTTAATACTGCAAACACAAAAATTAGAGATTGAATCTAAATTCTGCCTCAATCTGAAAAATTTGTTATAAAGATCATAATAATTTAAATGTAAATAATATAAAATTATATAAATTATAATATAAAAAAAATAATAATAATTATTATATTATTATTATTATGAAACTGTCTCATTTTTTAAATAAAAAGGTGCTCTATATAATTGGTAATAATGATCCAAATGTTTTTCATATATAATTTTAACTAATAATAAATATTTTTCAGTGAAAAATATTGACTTTCTTTTATTTATTTATACTTTTAGTTATTTTGCACATACAGTTTTTTTATATATTTTTGTTTTGCACTGTAATTATAAATAGAGTCATATGCAAAATTAATTACTGCATAATGCATTTCTGCATACCCATTGCGTAATGTATACATATATTCATATAAATCAAATTGTAAAAAGCAGTTTTATTGTTGAATAAAATCAATCATTATAAGTAAAAATATATAGAAGTTCAGACAAATTGAGATAGTATTTTTAGATTTGATTTAAATTAAAATCTTGTTTGTGAGGAGTGTAATATATCAATCATCACTCAATGTATGCATACATACATGAATATACGTGTATATGTATGCATATATGTATGTACACATATATATGTATGCATACTTATATATGTGTGTGGATGTATGTATAGACATAAACATTATATAAATACATATAAATTGTTTATAAAAAAAGTATATGAACGTGACGTGCATAGTCTGTGTAGGCAGACAGATAGAACACCTATAAACATAACTCAAATTGTTAGATTTCTTCCACAAAATAATTAATGACGGATATCTTTAATAGTTTATATATTTAATTTAATCTCTTCTGATACGAATTTTTAAATAAACAATACATTTTTTTAGTGTAAGTAGAGTAGGCGGGGTACGGTTGCGCCAGGGTACGGTTATTGACAGTCGTCATAACAGCTAAACTATACTATTTTCTGATAGGGTCCAAAGGGAGAAAAATGTAGTATGTTTGTTTGAACAAGTTCTCATTATTGAGTCAAAAGTAAGTTATTCTATTAGATTTCATTTAATAATAACTGTTATATACAGAAACCTTACTATGATTATTATTTTGTTGTAAGTTGAGCATGAGTAGTTAATTACCAGCAACTAGTTTTTGCCTAGATAATTTAGCTCAGAGCTAATAACGATGACTTGTCTTGGTGTTGATTAGATTTGTAACAAATTTTATGGGTATGGCTGTGACATGTTTTTTTAGGTCGAAGGGCTAAACGTATGAAGAAAAATCCAACTAGACCAAAGCAAAATTAAAATGAAAAAAGAAAATAGCTATACAAGATTTCACAGCCGGCATCACCATCTGGTGATTGATTCTGTCTGGTTTGTGGAATCTCATATTCTGAAAGTAAGGGTGACTTAAAATGGATCAAAGGCCAGGAAACATGCGGTTTCTGGTTCCACGTAAAATGCGCAGGTGATAGTCACTATTAACTGATAATTATTAGTTAACATCTTTGACTGACTTTAAAGAAGACTGCTATCATAACACTAGTCGTGATGGTGACTTACTAATCATAAGGAGGAAAGTGAAGTAATAGTTCAATTTATTTTTGGTTTAAAAAATAATGTTTTCTTATATCTATTATATGAAAATAAGTCGGGTTTTCCTTCCTGACGATATAACTCCAGAACGCACGAACCGATTTCAACGATTTTGCATTCGTTGGAAAGGTCTCGGACTCCGTGAGGTTTATAGCAAAGAAAATTGAAAAACGAAATCAACAGAAAAGCGGAAAACTTTTTCTT